TGACAGGCTGAGTCAGACTGGACTACAGAACTCAACTGACACTCACAGGAGCTGGGGTTGGGAGCAGGCAGGATTGGGAGCAGGCTGGGATGGGCCAGGTTGTAGCATCTGCCAGCACATGCAAAGGCTGGTACTGAAAGCAGACCATGTTAAGCATGGCTACAGCACCCACTAACTCAGGTAAGATTCAGAGCTGGGGGCAAGCCTAGTAGAGGGACTGTGGGCACTCCCCTGCTGGGCTAAAGCTCCCATTGGTGACCATAAGAGCCAGGGTAGGGGGTGTGCCAGGCTGATCAAGGCCCCAGCACTTGTTGGCATATGTGAGGGCCGGATCTGGGGGTGGGCCAGGCTAAGCTAAAGCCGCAGCACCCATGGGTGTGCACAAGAGTCAGACTGACCAGACTAGGCTACAGCACATGATGGCACATGCAAAAGCTGGGGCTAGGGAGGGACCTTGTAGGGGTTTACTAGGGGTCGCCCAACTAGCTTGTGGCACCCGTTTATGCATGTGAAGAACAGGAGGGTGGCAGGCTAGGATGAGACGGGCTAGGCCCCAGCATCCATCAGTTCACATGGGAGATGGGGCTGGGGCAGAAATGATCAAGCTGCACCCACTCATCTATGCATTGACTGGAGTGGGTGATGGACACAACCTGACTCTGCATTGGCTGGCACACACAAGAGTCAAGTCTGAGGTCACCCCAGGCAAGCTTTCTTAGGGGAGACTCCCCACCACCTAGATGGCTGGACTTAAACCCCAGTCACAGGGAAAATCACAACATATGAGGTCTGACCTTGGAGTGCATGTATCAGGACAGGGCACCCTCCATTGCTGATGCCTGTGCAGTAGACAGCATGGCCAGATACACATGGAGGACAACATGACAGCCAGCTCATCTAGGCCAGCAGAGGACACTGAGTGCTTCAAAAGATGGGGAGCAGAATGGGTTGGACCACTCCTCTGTCCAAACTTTGTAACTTGTTCCTGGAGGGCCTGTGGATGCACTAAGGTGGACTAACCAGCCAACAGACCTTGGAAAGGTTTTCTCAATCCTGGTGCAATGAAGCCAATGATGTCTCAGAACTGTCAAACCATTCAAGTAACACCCTTGGAACACTGTTCGCCACATCAGGGTCTCTAAGGTGCCATCAAATGACCAACCTCCACCCCTGGGTGCTGATACAGTTTGATAGCAAGAAATGATTCCATCCCCTCTGCTTCTTCGGACATAGGAGAAAAAAAAACGGAAACGCTTGTTCTAGCCTGCTTGTTCTATACCTCACCCTTCCCCACCTTAACTGATGGCTCAAATGGGCATACACCTTTCTCAACCATGCAAAAAATATTCATAATTTTTTAAAGATTTATTTATTTTTCTTTGAAAGGCAGGGATATACAGAAAGTAGGAGAGACAGAGAGGAAGATCTGCCCTCCGGTGGTTCACTCCCCAAGTTAGCACAATGGCTAGAGCTGAGCCAATCCAAAGCCAGGAGCCAGGAGCCTCTTCCAGATCCTCCACGTGGGTGCAGGGTCTCAAGGATTTGGGCCGTTCTCTACTGCTGTCCCAGGCCACAAGCAGGGAGCTGCATGGGAAGCAGGGCTGCCAGGATTAAAACTGGCAACCATATGGGATCCCAGTGCATACAAGGCAAGGACTTTAACCACTACACTATAGCACCAGGCCCAATATTCATAATTTTTAAAGAAAACATAACTGTTATTGCTTCATAAGACAGATAGCTCTAAGCACTGAAAGTGATCATATGTATCAAATGCTAAGCATGTGGACTATGTCTTGTATATATACTCCCCTTTGGCTTGTTGCCTGTTCTCCCATCCTCGCCTATTTTTCTGGTTAGCACTCATTTATCTTCATTTCAGCCTAAACATTAATCTCTGGCATTGTTTGATCAACATCTGACCATCTAGGATAAGTTATACTCCACCCTCATTTTACACCCTCAAAGCACAGTATAATTCTCATTTATATCACACATCATAATTATACATTTGCATTGTGATGATTTGGTTAATGACTGTCTGCTCCAATAGCCTGTAAGCTACATGACAGTAGGGCCTACAAGTGTTATACCTCATTTTGTGCACTGAACACAGTATCTGGCAATTAGAAGATGTTAAGTATCGGTTTAGTAAAAGAATAAAGAAGCATGAGTGTCAGCAGAAAAGGGGTCCTAGAGATTAGAAAGGGGGTCACAGGGCACCAATGCATCTATAGTCATCTTTGCTAGGAGGCACAGTAGAAAAAGTCCAGCGAACCCCACCCTACCAGGGCAAAGCTGAGGATTCACTACTTCTTTGGCCTTTAAAGGACCCGAACATAATATGTAGAAGCTGGCATAGCCCTATCCCAGAGAATCTGAGATAAAGGCCAGTCCTTCCAGTTCCATTCCTAACGTAAATCCCTCCATGATGGGTGTGAACATTGTGTTTAAGGGCACAGATTTTCATACCACAAGATCTCTAAATGTAGCCAACAACCATAGATAGGGCTCAGTAGAAGAAATAGCTGGGGACAAAATGAGGTCTTCTGGCCCCAGGAGAGAATGGTATCTTGGTTCTCCAAGGTGGAACCATTAAGGGATTTTCAGGAATATTTTTGTGCTTCTCCTACTGCTTCCTTGTGCAATAACTCTATGACCTAAGCTCTTTATAAGATAAGACTCTTCTTATGAGGACAAAGCAGTTGAAGTTCAGGTGCTGACACTGGACAGGCTTGAACTGCATGTATGATTCTAGCACTTACTAGTTGGAATGGAATCTTAGACCTCTGTAGTCACAGGCACATCGTCTTTGCTAATAGAAGAGTCTCTAGATCTTATAGTTACAGGAAACATTAAGCATAAACACAAGAATATGGCTAAATTATTGTCGTTAAGAAAGCTCCTGGTTACACACTGTGGAAGATGAAGTTCAGTTCCACATGTAACTGTGCTCCATCTCCAGAAGTTATTAAGTGAGTATCAGGATCCTACTTGGATTTTGTTTATTCTGTTCCAGATTAACAGCCCACTTCTCATTGGGAGTGTCAGACATCACCCTTCTATTTTGAGTAGAATGGCCTGTGCATAAATGATTGTTCTTCCTGAGTTACACAATTGAAACATTATACAAACCATCCCACTTCCTCATATCTTTAATGTCAAACAGCAAACTCAGCTTTTTTGTAATTTCTATCATACACACACACGCACACTCCATTGATAATTTGACTTCCCTGAGATAACTCTCCAAGACAACAGCTGCAAACACACAAGAAGATAATAACTCTACAGCCAAAGGAAAACCCAGAGAAAAGGAAGGTGAAAATGCCTGAGCCACAGGCCAGCCAGGAGAAGCTACTATAGCACCTGTCCTTTTGCTATAGTATTTATCTTGTCCCTCTTACATACAGGAAACAGTAGTTGCTGTCACTTGCAAAATCACTGCTCTCCAAATAGCATATTCCTTGGCAGTGAGAGAGAATACAGAAGAACCACCGTGCCTTCCAAAAGATTATTGCATGTTTGGAGGCATAAAACAAATGGAAAATAGCTAACTAGGCACCGAATGAGTATTAATAAAGAAGAATACAGACCCAACACATTGATTTGGCAACAGTGATGCGTCCCTGAACGAGGTGCCTAATGATCACACTGATGAAGCTGCAAGGAAATTCCAGATACACTAACAATCAGAAACCAGCCTGACGCATTCCAGACACAGAGAAGGGATAAGGAACAAAAATGCTGAAAAAGACTGATGAAAATACAAAAACAGCAAATTTAAAAAGCCTAATACTTGCATGAGGAGGCAATGTTATACCTTCCTTATAGTAAAAAAAAGGGGGACACAATATATCCCCTGGGGCCAGCATTGTGACACAGCAGGCTAAGGCTCTGTAGCTGCTGCAGAGTCAGCTATATATGAGTGTCACTTTAAGTCCCAGCTGCTCAATTTCTATTTTTGCTTTTTTTAAAAAGATTTATTTATTTAAATGGCACAGTAACAGAGGGAGCAGGAGAGATAGCAAGCTCTTCCACTCAATGGTTCACTCTGCAAATGCCTGCAATGACCAGGACAGGGCTAGGCTGAAGCTAGGAGCCAGGAGCTTCCTCCAAGTCTCCCATGCAAGTACAAGAATTCAAGCACTTGGGCCCGGCGCAGTGGCGCAGTGGTTAAGGTCCTCGCCTTGCACGCCCGGGATCCCATATGGGCGCTGGTTCTATCCCAGCAGCCCAGCTTCCCTTCCAGCTCCCTGCCTGTGGCCTGGGAAAGCAGTCGAGGACGGCCCAAAGCTTTGGGACCCTGCACCCGCGTGGGAGACCCAGAAGAGGCTCCTGGCTTCGGATCGGCACAGTATTGGCTGTTGCGCTCACTTGGGGAGTGAATCATCGGACGGAAGATCTTCCTCTCTGTCTCTCCTCTCTGTATATCCACCTTTCCAATAAAAACATAATAAAAATAAATCTTAAAAAAAAAAAAAGAATTCAAGCACTTAGGTCATCCTCCTCTGCATTCCTAGGCACATTAGCAGGGAGCTGATCAGAAGTCGGGCAGCCAGGAGTAAAACCAATGCCCATGCCAGCAATGCAGGCAGAAGCTTTACCTGCTATACCACAATGCCACTCCCCAGCTGCTGCACTTCCAATTCAGTTCCTTGATAATGAACCTAGGAAAGCAGAAGATGACCTGGCAACTGCCCCCTTGCTAACCATGTGAGAGACTCAGATGGAGTTCCAAGGCTTCTGACTTCTGTCTGGCCCAGCCTGGCTGTTAGAGCCATTTAAGAAGTGAACAGTGGATGGAAGACCTGTATATGTATAAGTGTGTGTATGTGTGTACACGCGCACATGTGTACGTGTGCATGCATATGTGTGTATGCCTCTCCCTCTTTCAAGTAAATAAATAAGTATTTTTAAAAACTAAGCAAAATGTAAGTCCCCAAAGTCCAAATCTTATCTCCACTGTCCCGCTGGCATAATCCCACATCATGACTCACCCGGCTAAGAGAGGCCTGGTGCCGCAGAGGCTTGGTGCCTGGGCCCCCGGACGAGGCGCCCTCTGGCTGCACAAGCGGCGGCTGTCTTGCTTCATATGGAGCTGAAATAGCAGGAGGGAAAATCAGCATGATATGCAAAGATTCCACTCAAAAATTATGCCTTCACCCTCAAACTGATTTATAGTATCAGCTTTTCAGAGTAGAACTTAGCAGAGGAATTAGATTATAACAAGGACTTCTTAAAGTTCATGGAAAATGGGAATTCAAAGATAATACTTTGCTGCAATAAAAAAACATGTGCACAATTTTTTCACCATTTATGTTATGTATGGGGCTGTTTTAGCTCCCTCGTGTACAAAGAGCCACCTACAAGTAAATTCTGATGCCTTTGGCTGCAACTTTACCAAACAACCTAAACATATTTATACCAGTTCAGCCAACTCATGATAAAGCAGAAAACTAATGACAATGGGTTACGGTTAAGAATCAAATGTGAGAGTGGAGCAGTGAGAATCTCAACGGGGACAGAAAACCAGAGTAGCTAGCAACACACCACAGTGGAAGTGTTCCGGTTCTGAGCATCCGTTAAATTCCTCACACACCTCCTTGTGCAAATGTCCTCCACACATCATCCCACACCCTAAAGAAAGCTAATAGACATTTTCAACGTAATCAACACTACTCATTATTTCCAAATAGTAAATGGCACTGTCTTCCTTATCAGACACAGGTTTTAAAAGTAGAGAAGAAAACAACAGTAGTAAGTATATTTTATATTTCTTCTACTATTCAATAACTAAACTATTGGGCCTAGCACAGTGGCCTAGCATAATGGTTAAAGTTCTTGCCTTGAACGTACCAGGATCCCATGTGGGTGCTGGTTCTAATCCCGGCAGCTCCACTTCCCATCTAGCTCCCTGCTTGTGGTCTGGGAAAGCAGTCGAGGAGGATGGCCCAAAACCTTGGGACCCTGCACCATGTGGGAGAGACCTGGAAGAAGCTCCTGACTCTGGCTTCAGATCGGCTCAGCACTGGCTGTTGCAGTAACTTGAGGAGTGAATCATCAGTTGGAAAATCTTCCTCTCTGTCTCTCCTCCTCTCTGTATATCTGTCTTTGTAATAAAAAGAAAAATAAATCTTAAAAAAAATAACTGTTTCAACATGATTTTTCTCCCTTGAAATAAATTTTAAAACCATAAAAATAAATGCATTTACCTCTTCTATTTCCACATATTTTAATTAGGACATTCCCAAGATGATAGGAAGACAGTTAAATATAATCATGTAATATTCAGCTCTTACAGAAAGGAGAGGTTATCACCCAAACTGAAATTGTTTCTTGTTTCTGTGGTTTAATAGTTTGAGTTTTTAAAAAATACATAGGTAAGTAAGATGCTTTCTTTCTGGAGCTTAGTTAAAAATGAAACCAGGCAAAAGCAAAGCATTCTCTTATGGCACTATATCTGGCACAATATGGCCTCTTTAACATAAAGAAGGTTACAACAATGTGCTTACTGGCACGGTGCAACAGCTGAAGCAGCCATTTACAACACCAGCATCCCATACTGGAGTAGCAGTTCGGGTCCTAGTTGTTCTGCTTTGGATCCAGCTCCCTGCTAACGCACGTGGGAAAGCAACAGAGGACGGGCTGGTGCCTGGGTCCCTGCATCCATAGGGGAGACCCTGATGGAGTTTTGACTCCTGCCTTTAGCCAGGCCCTGTCCCTAACATTGCAGCCATTTGGTGAGTGACCCAGCAAGTAGAAAAGCACTCAATCTCTTTCTCCCTCTTTTGGTCGTTCCTCCACCCCTCCCACTCTGAAACTCTTTCAAACAAACGCAGATCTTTTAAAGGAACAACAAAATAATCTTTGATTCGTATCTGTTTTTTGTATTTCTTCCAAGTAACCAGAACACAACATTATGACATTAAAATACATTAATAATACACTTTAAAATATCAAAATCATTGCCTGCTAAGCATTAAGTGTATTTTCAGAATCTGCAAAGGATGTATAGAAATAAACAACCTACAAAAGAAACATCCTTTAAGAGCACATAATCCAAACCCTAAAAGTAAGTCTCTGCAGGAAGTCAGATGTCTTCTGAGAAGCAGAATTTTTTTTAAATCATACCATATTGGTACAATACCAAATTAAACCATTAAAATCAACTGCATTCTGCTAAAAGATTTTTTAATTAATAATTTCTTTATTATTATCATTATAACTATTTTATATTATAGTTACATAGGTTCCTGGTATTTCCCTTATCCCCTCCACAATTCCCATCCTACCTAGTTCCTCTATATCATTACTAACTATCATATAGTTCTTCATACACAGTCATATGTCCATCATTTCGGGCATGGACAATGGCAGAGAGTCCAGAATCCTATTGTCAAGATATAGTAAACAGTTTCATTGTAAGTCCATCTTTGTCTGGAAGCAGAAATGAATATCACACTGCATCCTCACATCTGGATGTTAGTCTCCATTTCACAGCTACAGTACATCTCATCAAATGAAAAGTCATAATACAAAATCAACAATAGAAAGAAAAATAGAAATTTACACTGCCATGCAGTTAAATAACATGTTACTAGATATGACAGTCTCCATTACACAGCTACTATACATCCCCTAAAATGAAAAGCCACAAAACAAAATCAACATCAGGAAGGAAAAAGAAATTAACAACACCATGAAGTTAAATAACATACTACTAAATGACTAACATGTAGCTGAAGAAATGAAAATCAAGAACCTTCTTGAAGAAAATGATGCTGCTGTATGATCTATGAGTCATTGAAGAATTTATTCAGAAGAAAGTGTTTTGAAGAGATGAAATCAACAGAAAACAACAAAACCCATGCTATATAGTTTCCACTGGTTTTTGCTGGTGAAGTGTGTCTCCTCCAGAAAATAAATAGATGGGTTTTGTTTTTTAATTCAGTCTACTAATCTGTGACATTTGATTGAGCTTAAGTCATTTACATTCAGGGTTAATATGTATGGGTGGTACTTTGGTCCTGTCATTTTAGGAATGGGTTGTTCATTGGTTTAGTCTTCTGTTGTTATTTTACTGCGATGTTCTTCCCATTTGCCTTTGGTTTTGGTAGGTGCTATTCCTCTTCTCTGTCAAGAGAACATCTTGAAGTATCATTTGTAGGACAGGTTTGGAAGAGGCAAAGTCTTTTAGCTTTTCTTTACTGTGGAAGAATTGTATTTCATTTTCAAAGATGAAAGAAAGCTTTGCTGCATACATTATCCTGGGCCAACAGTTTTTTCTTTTAGAATCTGGAATATGTCACTCCATTCTCTTCTTGCCTGTTGAGTTTCCTGTGAGAGATCTCCTGTGAGCTTAATTGCCATCCCTTTATATGTCAATTGATGTTTTTCACGTGCACATTTAAGGATCTTTTCCTTATGTTCAATTGAAGAGAGCTTGATAATCATATGTCTTGGTGAAGATCGCTTTTGATCAAGCCTGTTGGGAGTTCTGTGTCCCTCCTGGATCTTGTTTCCCAATTCTTTCTCCAGATTAGGGAAATTTTCCTTTATTATTGCATTAAATATATTTGTGAAGCCAGTTTCTCTTTCTGCACCTTCTGGGACTGCCATAACTCTTATATTAGGCCTCTTAATAGTGTCTTTCAATTCTTGAATACTTTTTTGGCCTGATCCAGCTCTGCTTCCAGCTTTTTGTTTGCTTTCCCCTGGTGACAGGAAATACCTTCCAATTCTGAGATTCTTTCTTCTGCTTGTTTCATTCTACTTTGGAGATTCTCCAATGTACTTTTAATTTGCTCTACTGTGTTGTTAATTTCTGATATATCAGCCTTGATTTGCTTTATTGCTGCTATTACTTGTGTAAAATATTGCTTCCTTAAATTCTTTGAACTCTTGTATGTACATCTCATTTTTGATCAGAAGCTTTAAAATGAGTTTTCTGAATTCTGTGTCCCCCATTTTCTCGATGTCTTCCTCAGTTAACTCTGAGGTTGGCAAAGGGTTTTGCTCCTTTGCAGGGGAGTTTTCAGTAATATTAATTGTGCCTTTGTCTCTTCTTTTGCTCTTGGTCATTGTTAACTTCTGGTAGTAGAGTCTTCTCCTTGTGGCAGGTTTCCAAGGTGTATCACCCATATGTCTACGGTTTTATTTTACTTATTGCAGTTGGTACAAAACTCTTTGCTTGCAGCCACTTGTGCCACAACCTCCAGCAAGTTCCAGGTCTGGGTTCTTATGTCAGACGTCCACCAAGAACTCTGTAGCCCCAACTCCTGGCTGACCACTCTCCACCTCTTGTGATACCGTGCTGAGGCTGCACTGTTGTCTGTACAACCTTTCTTCCACTTCCGGTTGGAGCAGGTCCCAGGATTAGGGAGACACCAGGTGTCCTATATAATTAGGTTGTTGGTGGTACTGATCTTGTCAGAACCTGTTGGATGCTAGGTCTTGGTGCCACACGGATCTATTTTGACCCACACAATGCTACAGTCGGTATTATTTTCCTGCAGGACAAGTACAATCCAGTGATCTCAGCGAGTTTTCATGAGCTCAGCACATGCGCAGCTCACTGTTCACTCTTGCAGTCCCAAAGCTATTGCCACAGCGTACAAAATGGTGCCTGATGTATCATTACCACCACTACAGTTCTTGATCTGCTGGCCATCAGATCTGAGGGCTACCCAGACCTGTCTTGGGTGGAACCTGTAGAATGTCACGTTGCTGCAGTTCACTGAGTCAGAAATGAGTTCACTCCCCGCTCAGCGTATGCTCAGTCCTTTCCTTTGCCTTTGCCTCCTTCAGCAAAATGGCACCCAATTCAGCTCCAGGGGGCTGACTGGGCTGTGAAATCCACCCTGTTCTCACACTGCCCGTCTGGGATCTGCTGCTCTGTCTCTGTTCCCGGTCAAATCAAACATACCAGTAGGACAGACAGTTCTTTGTGTGGGTTCACCTCCCAAGGACCCAGTGAAAGTCCCTTCCCACCAGGTTGCTGGTAGAGTTCCAGCTGCTGTTGGAGTTCAGATGGCTGTTAGCTGAATGCTGCTGTAGTATCAGTCACTGCAACACCATACTTTTGTGTCTGCTGTTTTCCTGTGTCTGTCAGTCTCCAGGTACCCCTCTGCTGTTGTTCTGTCCTCTCTTATTTCCTGTAATGCGTCCTCTCTGCTTCATCCTGATTAAATGTTTCTTCGTCCATTTAAATGTGTTCTTACCCTATTCTGCCATCTTGATTCTGCTACAAGATTTTAAACACAAGGAACCATAGCAGGGTCAGGATCCTTGTGGTCATAACCTTTCCTTAGGAAGCCAAGTCCATATGCATCTCCTAAAACAAGTGATGGAGCCTCTGCTGTGCATGGAGACATAGGGCCCCACCTGACTCTGTGCTCCAATCTCTCACCTACAGGGACCTGCCCTTGGAGAAAACAAATATATCTCATTAGCAGGCTTGGGAGGAGACTTAACTGCAGAAAGGCTCATTTTCTGGAAAAGCAGATTTTCTGTTCCAACTTACATGAGAATTCTTGACTAATTATGCTTGTTTGTAACTGCAAAGGTGAGTGACGCCCACTGGCACAGATCCAGGCACGTGATCTGATCAGTCATATCAGTAGCAAAACTGACAGTCAATCCTTCATTGGTCTGACTCTAATTTCTTAACTGGATCTGAAACACGAGGTAATTACTTACTTCCTTGACTCTCATTCTTCCCAAAGAAGTCTAAAGCATCCAACTCCATGCAAAACTAATAATTCTCCAACACCCTTGCAAAAGGTTTAGAAAGGAACCAGAAAGGTTTTGTTTTTCTGCATATTAAATACACAATATAGTTTAGTAACAGACAACACAGAATTTGCTAAATTTTAATAGAGTGAATGGTTACATTGCCTGCTATAGTACATAGAAGACATCTGTAAGTTGCCTTCTTTACAGATTTTTAAAGATTTATTCTATTTTATTTTATTTTTATTGGAAAGTCAGATACACAGAAAAAAGCACAGATCTTCCATCCACTGGTTCACTCTCCTAAGTGATCACAATGGACAGAGCTGAGCCAATCTGAAGCCAGGAGCCTCTTCTGGGTCTCCCACATGGGTGCAGGGTCCCAAGGCTTTGGGCTGTCCTCCACTGCTTTCCCAGACCACAGGCAGGGAGCTGGATGGGAAGTGGAGCAGCCAGAACATGAGCCAACACCCATATGGGATCCTGGATGATGCAAGGCGAGGATTTAGTCACTATGCTATTGTGCCAGGTCCTCTTTACAGATTATTTACTTCATTTTTTAAATTTGTTTTCTGTTTTAATATTATTTACATAAAGTCAGAATTAGAGAGAGAGGAGTAGAATCAGGGAGAGAGAGAGAGAGCTTCCATCCACTGGTTCATTCCCCAAAAGGTCACATAGGCCAGAGATAAGCTGATCTGAAGCCAGGTACCAGCAGTTTCTTCCCAGTCTTCCACAGCGGTGCAGGGGTCCAAGCACTTGAGCTATCCTCTACTGATTTCCCAGCTATAAGTAGGGAGTTGCACCAAGAAATGGAGCAGCTGGGGTTTGAACTGGCACCCACATGGCATGCTGGCACTGCAGGTGGAAGATTAGCTTGGCACATCACTGCACCAGCCCAAAGAATAGCATTTTAAGAAAAAAAAAAAAAGAAACACCTTGAAATTTTCGTCACTCTGAAGTTCAATGTCAAACTGAATGTTTTGGCAGTTTCTAATATGCCTATTCAGAAACCCAGTGATTTTACTTCCAGGTACTAGGGACACAACAGCATATGACACAAAAGATTAACGCATGAATGGTCTAGCATCTTTATTCATAACAACAAGACACTAGTGAGACAACCCAAGTATTCATCGACAGAAGAATAGATCATCAGATCAGGTATCCTTTTTTTACACTGGAATACTAAATGAGATAACAAAAATTGAAAAACTACTGACAAAGTAATATGGATGAATCTCAATTACTTTGCTGAGTGGGAACCAGCAGACAGTTGCAGTTACAGTGGTTTCAGCTTTTGTGAAGTTCTAGAAGAAACAAAATAAAATCAATAGTGCCAAAAATTAGGGGTGTGGGGCAGGAAACACTGGAAAGGCCTATCTTCAAGGAAAATGCTCTGTTCTTGACCTAAACAGTAGCTACATAGGCCTAGCCATTTGTTAAAACTCAAAACAAAAGTTAAATTGTGTGAGTTTCATCTTCAATCAGTTTCACCTCACTTGAAAAGTGCATAAAAAGGAATGAAGGCAAGACAGCCTTGGCATGGACTGCTGAGAATCCAGAAAGATGAACAGAAGCAGGCTGCTTCTTCATCACCAATTGAACACAAGCCCAGTTTGGCTGGAATGAGGAGAGAATAGGAACAAAGTTGAGAAAAGAGAATACCAAAGACTTTTTGAAAAAAACAAGACATCACTAGTGGAGCTCAGTGACGGGCTGAATTGGTAGAACAAAAATGGGTTCACCTGGAAATGTAGAAGTCACCACCCAGGGGCTGGTGTTTGTCCTAATGGATTACACACCCTCAACCTATGTCAGAGTGCCTGGGACTGAGTGCTGCCTCAGCTCCTAACTCTAGTTCTCTGCTAGTGGGGACCCTGGGAGAGAGCTGGCAAGATGGCTCCAATAGTCAAGTTCCCTCCACCCATGGCAACGGGAGACCCAAACTGATTTCTCTCCTCCCAGCTTTGGCCCCAGTTAGGGACCATTATGAGCATCAAGGAAGTGAACCAGCATATCGCAGTACATTCACTTGCTTCTATATAAATAAACAAAATTTAATAATCAATTTTCAAGGTTAAATATGAATAGAAAGAGAAAATGAAACATTTTCAACACTGTTTATTTTCTGACACTTGTGAGATATTCCACTTGCAGGAGAATAATTTTTTGTTACTATCCATTAACAACATCACCTTGTATTTGCTTAAGAGTGAATTTCCAAATTTTACTCTCACATTCTCTCTGCATCCTCCTAACATCTCCATAGGAGACTCTTCGAGGACACCTTAGTTGAGAGAAGTGGCTTAGCCAATATCATAAACTAGTCAGAGAAATCCACTTCTTTTGATTCCAATTCAAAGCTCTTTCCACCATGCCATGTCTGTCTCCCTCTGCAAGCCTGCAGCCTTTCTTCAGCTCAGCCTAACATAAATTGTTATTTCTGGGACCATTTGCAAGTCACCACTATTTTCATTGCATCCAAGCCCTGCAGAAACTGGGTCATTTTCACTCACAGCCCACAAGATAAAAATGGAGGTTCCAGGATATCCAATTCTAGACATTAAATGGGTCGTATCTTAAACTGGGACCATGAGCCTCAGAAGGACCACACACTTCAGTGAATTTACAGAGCTCCAGCACTGCAGGCCGGCCAGCCAGCCCTGCAAGGTGTCCTCAGACTCTGCTTGTGCATTTGGACAACTAACACGGCCAGCAGAGCACAAATGTGAGAAAGCAGGCAACCCTATAACTGTACACGTGACATACTTCTTAACACACTGCCTCGCATTGTCAGCACAGATGCAACTCTTGTGGTTTTGTGCAGTTAGCATTTTTTTTGACAATGTTCAAAACAAATTTATTAGGAAATCACTTGAGGTTAACTTAGATAATTTCAACAAATAAAATGCTTAAAGAAAAATCAAGAGTCTTATTTTTAAGTTGAGGAATAACAATTTTAACTAAAGGTAAATCTTTTTTAAAAAAAGATTTATTGGGCCCGGTGCAGTGGCGCAAGTGGTTAAAGGTCCTCGCCTTGCACGCCCGGGATCCCATATGGGCGCTGGTTCTAATCCCGGCAGCCCCGCTTCCCTTCCAGCTCCCTGCCTGTGGCCCGGGAAAGCAGTCAAGGATGGCCCAAAGCTTTGGGAACCTGCGCCCGCGTGGGAGACCCAGAAGAGGCTCCTGGCTTCGGATCGGCATAATATCGACCCGTTGCGCTCACTTGGGGAGTGAATCATCGGATGGAAGATCTTCCTCTCTGTCTCTCCTCTCTGTATATCCACCTTTCCAATAAAAAAATAATAATAAAAATAAATCTTTAAAAAAAAAGATTTATTTATTTATTGCAAAGTCAGATATATAGAGAGGAGGAGAGACAGAGAGGAAGATCTTCCGTCCGATGATTCACTCCCCAAGTGAGCGCAATGGCCGATACTATGCCGATCCGAAGACAGGATCCAGGAACTTCTTCCGGGTTTCCCACACGGGTGCAGGGTCCCAAAGCTTTGGGCCATCCTCGACTGTTTTCCCAGGCCACAAGCAGGGAGCTGGATAGGAAGGGGAGCTGCCGGGATTAGAACCAGCGCCCATATGGGATCCCGGGTGTGCAAGGCAGAGGACTTTAGCCATTAGGCCACGGCGCCAGGCCCAACTAAAGGTAAATCTTAGAAAAATATTTGCTATGTAGTACTACCAATATACAAATGGATTTTCTATGAATTGGTGAAGAATCCAGTGATTTCATAGTTAGCTTTTTTTAAGAAACTTCATAAAAGCAGTTATTACATAGACGTGTCTGGTATGCTTTCAAAAAAGAATAACAATTCTAAAGAACACAAACTTTTAGCATGTTACATTTCTATTTATGTCTGTATGAAAGATCAAATCATCTAAACATGAACTTGTTTCCAGTTCAGGACATGTAGCACTACTGAGCTATGTTTAATTAAATTTTCTAGAAAGCCTTGCTTAAAAACATTAAATTCAGCCATGTTCCAATACCAGGCGTAATTAAATCAGGAAATTAGGTAGCCAGTGGTGTTGCTGGCTGCTAGATTGAGGAGCCTCCAAGGCATCACCTGGGCCAACTGGCCCCTGGGTCGGCCTACCTGCGTGCATCTGCTCCCCACTGCTCCGCAGTTTGCTGTAGCCATGGCTCAAGGGCACCCGCTGGTAATGAGGCGGCGAAGAAGGAGGGGAGGTGAGCGGTGACATTGTGGGAGACTGTGTGTCCTGCTGCAAAGAACCAGAGCAGAGTTCAGAGGTGATCTGTCAAGAGCCTGGCAGTCCTCAGCTGCTGATAGGATAGGAAGCACAACCCAACTGCCAGGCCGGTGACTCAGCTGACTTCACAAGTGCAGGAGAGCATTTTCTGAAAAGTGCAGCATAAATGAAACTGGATGTCCGAACAATGGAAAGCCTCATAGAGAATACACTCTGCAGTGCTAAATCACCTAAATTACTAAAGCCACCCTGAAATATTTTCAGTTATTCCAACAATATTTTCCTTTGAAAACAAAAGATATTGTACGCAGGAAATAAAGTCCATATTCCCTAAAAATGACCTCTGTGTGAATAGATTCCATTGCTCTCATTAATAAAGAATCCTATTTCTGAGATTTATGCTTATCAACTCTTTCCGAAAATAGAAATACTAAATATATTTTATATGCCTAATGTTAAATGTCCTTCAGGCTTACTATTTCGATGTAAAATGTCAGCTTTTTAAAAAATTTGAGGTTGCAAAACAATTCATTACTGGTAACCCACTACAAACAGCCTCTTCCTGAGGCTACAGTTTGAACATGCAGATGTTTCAACCCCAAACCCTATGTTAATAGTTAATACATTCATATTCACACTTGATGGACTAAGGATGCAAGCTAGATGCAATTCTGAGGAGAAATGGAACAAGCCAGATGCCTTCAGCTCACTGGGGACTGGCCCTGGGAAAGCAGTCCTTGGGGCTAGTGCTGGGGCACAGAGGGTTAAGCCAAAACCTGCCACAACAGCAAGCCACATGGGTGTCCACTTGTGCCCTGACTGTTCCACTTTGGCTTCAGCTCCCCAGTAATGAACTGCAGAAGCAGCAAAACACTGCCCACATATTTGGGTCCCTGCCACCCACATGGGAGACCTTGCTGAAGCTCCTGGCTTCGTCCTGGCTCAGCCCTGGATGTAGCAAATGAAAAATATTCTCTCTCTGCTTCCCTTCTCTGTTTCTCCCTCTCTCTCCACTCCCTCTGTAGCTCTGACTTCCAAATAAATATTGTTTTAAGGAAGGGTAGTCCTCATGAGAACTGGTTATATAAATAAGCTAACTTCAATCCACCTGTCTCTGCTTCCTTTTTCCCCTCTCATTCCACTGTTCAACAGACAGCAGACTAATGTAGTCACCTGATCTTGGATTGGGACCATCTAAAACCGTGAGGTCAAATAAAAGTTATCACTTTATAAGGAGCGTTTCTTGGATATTTTAAAGAGAAGCTAACTAGTAAGATCTAAATACTAGAATATAGAATATAGAATATAGTTTTTATAATTTGAATGTCAACTCATATATGAAGCTGATGTTGAACCCAAGGCGAAGCAACCAATGTTACATATTGTGGACTTCCTTCCTTCTTTTTATTTTTAATCAATAGACTGTTTAGGTTGGGGACCCAAGAACAAGAAAATAGGTTTTCTTTTAATCCATATAGACTATAAAGGCTCTCTTAAGCTAACAAGAAATATACAATCTGAAATATTACTTAAATACTCTTCTCCAGAAAATAGATTTTTGCTTTAAAGCATGAGCTCATAGTCACAGATTGAGTGGCTATAGCATAAATCCAGTTTGAAGTGGAAGGGTGTCCCTCATTCACAAAACCAGGGACTGGGCCCACAAGATTTCAGGTCATCACTGTAATTCTAGCCCCTTGTGTACTGGTGGGGAAAACATGTCACCTCCATGTATACCCACACACATATCCTTAATCTTGTTTACATTGTGTCAAAAGCATGAAAGCAATAGGACCTGTAGTTGTCTAACAGAATGTGCTAAACCTCCCTTGTGTTGGAATCCCATCCTCCCTATTCTGGGACCCAATCTGCTAAACATGTAATACCACATTTCTGAATGTGACATTCCAGACACGCTCCCCTAGAAAGGATATGCCATGAAAGACGCATCTGAAATGCAGAACACTGGGTTTCGTTGTTGCAGGAGTTCTCTGACGCTTCGCTGCACTCAGATCCACTGTGAATGTCAAGACTGAAGAGCAAATATGAAGCAGAATTCTCCAAACATATTTAGCCAGAGAAATCTTTTCTCTGATCTTCTTTTTGAAATAGAAGAGCTAATTAAAAATCCTAACATTCTCCAGATGCAAGCAGCTGTCTAGGTTGCCTTGTCCATAAGCGAGTGTTATACTGCTGGCAGAAAAGCAGCCAATAACTGGCAGGCATTCTGGGCTTGGTTAATGCTAAATTTGTGTTAACTATACCAGTGTGCCAGCATAGTAGCATAGTTGTCTATTCCATATTTTTTAAAGACATGTGGGGAAGGCAGGGAACGTCAAGCTGGAACATACCACCCCAGCCATCAGGCAGGTGGGTCCGAGGGCGTATTAGAGTGACAATGGCTGAAGGCATGCTTGACAGGGGAGGAATGATTTCTGGGGGCTTCCAAGAACCAGGACACTACACTCGCAGGCAGGTGAGGGAGCTGAGATGGGATGGTTTAGAAGGGAGAACAAGAGGGCATATTTGGGTCAGGCCAAGATACCCTCCCATGTGGGAGACCTGATTGGGCTAAATGGCATCATCTGCCACCTGCTGCTGCATACCAAAGCTAGGGCTGGGGGACAATGGCTGGCTGGCCTAGGCCACAGTACCCACCCTCAAGTGGGCCATGTCAGGTTGGGCCACAGCACCCAGTGAATGTTACAGAACCACATCTGGGGGCAGATTCTGCAGAAGACTTGTGAGCTCAAGAAGACTTGTGGGGACTGCAACACCCACTGGCTTGCTCCAGAGCTGAGAGTGATGACAGGCTGAGTCAGACTGGACTACAGAACTCAACTGACACTCACAGGAGCTGGGGTTGGGAGCAGGCAGGATTGGGAGCAGGCTGGGATGGGCCAGGTTGTAGCATCTGCCAGCACATGCAAAGGCTGGTACTGAAAGCAGACCATGTTAAGCATGGCTACAGCACCCACTAACTCAGGTAAGATTCAGAGCTGGGGGCAAGCCTAGTAGAGGGACTGTGGGCACTCCCCTGCTGGGCTAAAGCTCCCATTGGTGACCATAAGAGCCAGGGTAGGGGGTGTGCCAGGCTGATCAAGGCCCCAGCACTTGTTGGCATATGTGAGGGCCGGATCTGGGGGTGGGCCAGGCTAAGCTAAAGCCGCAGCACCCATGGGTGTGCACAAGAGTCAGACTGACCAGACTAGGCTACAGCACATGATGGCACATGCAAAAGCTGGGGCTAGGGAGGGACCTTGTAGGGGTTTACTAGGGGTCGCCCAACTAGCTTGTGGCACCCGTTTATGCATGTGAAGAACAGGAGGGTGGCAGGCTAGGATGAGACGGGCTAGGCCCCAGCATCCATCAGTTCACATGGGAGATGGGGCTGGGGCAGAAATGATCAAGCTGCACCCACTCATCTATGCATTGACTGGAGTGGGTGATGGACACAACCTGACTCTGCATTGGCTGGCACACACAAGAGTCAAGTCTGAGGTCACCCCAGGCAAGCTTTCTTAGGGGAGACTCCCCACCACCTAGATGGCTGGACTTAAACCCCAGTCACAGGGAAAATCACAACATATGAGGTCTGACCTTGGAGTGCATGTATCAGGACAGGGCACCCTCCATTGCTGATGCCTGTGCAGTAGACAGCATGGCCAGATACACATGGAGGACAACATGACAGCCAGCTCATCTAGGCCAGCAGAGGACACTGAGTGCTTCAAAAGATGGGGAGCAGAATGGGTTGGACCACTCCTCTGTCCAAACTTTGTAACTTGTTCCTGGAGGGCCTGTGGATGCACTAAGGTGGACTAACCAGCCAACAGACCTTGGAAAGGTTTTCTCAATCCTGGTGCAATGAAGCCAATGATGTCTCAGAACTGTCAAACCATTCAAGTAACACCCTTGGAACACTGTTCGCCACATCAGGGTCTCTAAGGTGCCATCAAATGACCAACCTCCACCCCTGGGTGCTGATACAGTTTGATAGCAAGAAATGATTCCATCCCATCTTTCCCCTCTGCGGACACAGCCAAAAAGATATTGAAACATTTGTCCCACCCATTTGCCTCCATACGGCAATCCTTCCCACCCCACTCAGAGTCCTGCATGGACATGCAGGACCCTCTACCATGTAAACAATATTAAAAATTAAAAAGCACAAAAATTCTAAATATTACATTTCAAAGAAACCATTTATAAAATCACCAATGTAGAGAAATGAGGTCAGGGTATCAGAACAATAGCCCTTTTTCAGACACAATTCTATAATACCATGAGCTCTGTGGGGTCTCTGATGGCTTGTTGCAATTCCTGTGCATCAGCCGCTTTTTCTCACTCCAAAGAAACGTCACTGGCTCACTTCCAAGGTATAATTATGTTCCAGATGGTGAGATTTGCTGGAAGCTTGACAGCAGATATGAGGCTCTGGTATGTGAGGTTTCACGGTTAAAATCAAATGAGCATGCCCAAGCAGAAAGCTTACCTGCTTCTCCTCATCATCCATTCTTTTGACAGAATTTTTTTCCACAGTTAAGTATGGAATTTGAATCTTAGCTCCATGCAGCTCAGCTGGGTTCCCAAATCGTATGTCACCATCATTCTTTGACATCATAAAGCGAGGCAGAGGCAATTCTTTAGGACCAAAAGCAAAGATGTTTAACTGAAACATTATTCAAACACTGGAAAAAAACGGGAACTCAATGGCCAAATGATGAATCATGTGTGAGGAGAAACTCCAAAGCACTATAGATTAAATTTCAATTCAGACACAATGAAAGCACTTCAAACAATCTCATGACAGAAAAAATGCAATGGTCTAAGCAAGCAATTCCAGCTTAATAGCTTTTAATAATGCCCAATAATTGCAGAAAAAATCAGAGTAAACTTCCCAGTTTATTCTTTATGCAACACTAAGAAAAAGGATGTGACATCATGCAAGTATGGTAATAAGTGACAACTGGAAGCAGGTAGAGCTTATACAACATTTAAATATGCCATGATCAGTAGCAAAGATCTGCAAATAATAAGTCATTTATTCCTCACAGCCACTCTAACATACAGCATTATCAACTAATTTACAGATGTGTACACAGACCTGAAGGAGCTATTAGTCCAGAGATCACAAAGTTTATGTGCTGATCAAATCAGTATTTGAAACCAGACAAGCAGACACAGTGCAGTGCCTCAGTGGCTAAAGCCTTGTTTTGCATGCATGAGGATCCCATATGGGAACCAGTTCATGTCCTGGCTGCTCCCCATTTGTGACCTGGGAAAGCAGTAGAGGATGGTCCCCCTGGAACCTTGCATCCTCATGGAAGATCCGAAAGAGACTCCTGGTTCCTGGATTCAAATCGGCTCAGCTCTGGCCGATGTGGCTATTTGGGAGTGAACCAGTAGAAGAAAGATCTTTCTGTCTCTCCTTCTCTCTGTAAATCTGCTTTTCCAATAAAAATACATAAATGTTTTAAAAAAGAACCAGGCAAACAAGTTATTTTTCAATTTATCATTAATATAAAGAGAATGAATTTTATGTATTCCCTGATGACAACCCTACTATATTCACTCCCCTGTACCCTGTAGAAAGGTCTGTATTTCTTAGACCACATTTACTGGGTAGAACAATTTCTCCCCAGTATAATGCTCTAAGGAAGTTTTGCACTGCCTCTCTGGTTGTCTTTTTGCAAGGGAATGAAGAAGAGTCGGAGGGATTAATGTAAGATTCAACCAAACTTTTCCTGTCATAACCACTAGCCACTCACAAAGCTATAAAGAACTGAAATAAAATGAAATAAATAAAATTCTGTTCTCTTTATATTAATTAAAAAGAAGAAAATATCTAGTATATTTAGTTATTTCAAATATCTGAAAAGTACTTCAAAACTGGTGATACCTCTAGTTCTGAGAACAATGAATCACACACAATCACATAGTTCAAAGGTCTGTACAAACAGCAATAATATGATGGACTACGTGGAATGATTTGCATCTGTAGCCTTTGTTCTGGATAGCACTCATCAGAGTGCCTGTGCACTTCCATCAGCCTTCATCCCAAAAGCACAGCTGTGTATCCAATGATTGATGCTGTGCTAAACCCAGAAAACATCTTAGCTCCCTAAGCCAAGAAAGTCCCTGGTTCTCTAATACCCACATCATGTTTATTTTTAGTTGCTATGTCCGCATTTGATTCAAAGAAGCAGGCAAATGACAAATATCTGCATGATCCACCACTGCAAGAGACATGAATAGGGTAACCACGCTGGAAAATTAAACCACAATTCTCCTCCCCAAAACGGATGGCCACCATGTCTTAATGTTCCCCAAGCTTGGGCAGATCTCCAGCACTGAAGGCAAAAATGAATTTCAAAAGCAAACAGGCAAGAGAAAATCAACTCTAGATTCTTAGTAGAACAAATGAAAGTTAATCCCGCATTCTATCTGAGAAATATATCTGCTGAAGCTCAGTTCACACAAAGGATAGAATAATTTGTACACAATGGAAGAACTCTTAGATGCTCAATATTTATAAGCTCCCTGACTAATGTGATACTGTCACTCAGCAGTTTACTCCAGGGAAAAACAGCATATAAGTGTGGTATTATACTATTAGCTGATCAGCTAAGACGTACACATGACTCCCAGATATTTCTCTAGAAACAATCCCCTAGGAAACACATCTCTCTCCACCAGCCAGCCACCAAAGAGCAAAATACAACTACATTTTTCTCATACCTTTTTTGATCATGTGGTTTCAAACAACTCTTCCTTAAGAGAACTGTAACCAAACATATTAAGATTCTTATCATTGCAAATTCTCCTCGAGCTTCTGCTAATCTATTACAAAGTAAAAGGTCAAAGTCTAGTTTGTAAATGTTGAAGTCTCCATATTTTCCTGGTCATACACATACCAAATCTGATAGTGAAGCTTCCTGAGAAAATGCATCCAGTCTCTGCCATGCAGTGATGTATATCACGGAATCACAGGAGGTTGACTCATAACAATGTCTTAGTCTAGTCAACACAGTTTGATTAAATTCACATAGAAATGTTCAGAGTTAATGTTATGGGCAATAACAGAAAAAGAAGTGACAATTTCTTAGGAAAAGATAGGCTGTATTCTTTGAACATAGAAATGTGTTGACGTGGTAGTTATACAGACTAATCCTCCATCTACAAGCACCAGCATCCCAAATGAGTGCCAGTTCATGTCCTAGGTGATCCATGTCTGACCCAGCTCTCTGTTTATGGCCTGGAAAAGCAGTAGAGGATTCTGAAATCCTTGAAACCCGGAAGCCACACAGGAGACCCTGAGGCGGCTCCTGGCTCCTGCCTTTGGATGGGCTCAGCTCCAGCCATTATGGCCATCTGGGCAGTGAACCAGTGGATGGAAGATCTTTCTGTCTCTTCTTCCAATAAAAATAAGTAAAACCTTTTTTAAAAAATGCTTTGTCACCAAGCCAGGCCAGATTCCAACATCATCTGGTGCTCTGGAGGACCGGGGAGAGATGTGTGACAGACTAGGCTAGGTCTCAGCCCTTACTGAACCATGTGTGAGCTGTGTGGGGGTATGGAAGAGCCGTGGCTGGGTTGAAATATCCAACAAGAACCAGCTTGAGTCGAAGGCCAGTCAGGAAAAGCTACTATTCCTCCTAGGATAGGAGGCGAACTGAGTAGTGCTGGCTCATGGACCCACTGGTATGCGCGAAAACTGGCATTGGGAGAGGTTCTGGTGGAGGAGCCTGGGCAACTTCTCTGGCAGGACACAGTCCCATGCAGGTAAGCGCAAGAAGCACAATAGGGAACAACCCAGAACAGACAATGAAAATTATCCCACTGGCATACACATGGCATGGGTTGGGGGCAGACCAGCCTGAATCTGTTCACATTACCTTCTGGTGAATCTGAGCACCAGAACAGAGTGTGGGTCGAGCCAGGTTCGGTTGCAACACATACCAGTACACAACAAGTAATGCCAAGGTGAGATGAGTCATACCAGATGTGGCTGCATCTCACAAACAGCACATGTGACAATCGGGGCGGAGGCAAAGCCAACAGGGGAACGTGGGCACCCCTGCTGGATAACTACTTCCATTGGAAAGTGTGAATACGGATGGGGCAGATCAGACTAGGCAGGGCTATAGCACCTGTGGGCCTCACGGTGAGCTGACTGTTCTGACTGTTGCGAGTTAAAATTAGAGTGGGTTGAGGGGTGTTTGGGCTTAGCCACAGCATTAGCTGGCAGAGGCTGGTACTGGGAGCTAATTCTGTCAAGTCAAATGCCAAAACCACCTGGAGACTGCATACTCTGGGAGTGGGTGTGGCCTAGTAGGGAAATAGTGGGCACCTCCCTCAGGGTTACCACCCCCCACTGGACAGCATGAAACCCAGGCTAGGAGCAGGGGGCGGCTAGACAGAAAGGCACATGCCAGTGGGTGTATGGGCTGGATAATAGGTTGGTTGGGTTGAACCAGGCTTCAATGTCCATTGACGTGTGTGAGAGCTAAATGGGATGTGGGACAGATTGGACAAGCCGGCGGTGCATACTGGCAAGCATGGGAACCAGGGTAGGGGGCAGAACTGGTAGGGGTTTTGGGGAGTCGCCCCAACTAGGCTGCAGCTCCAACTGGTTTGCATGAAGACCAAGTATGAAGTGGGTAGAATCGAGCTGGACTACAACACCCATTGGTTCACAAGGAAGACAGGGCTGGAAGCCAAACGGACCCAACAATCGCAACGACCAGCTGATTGGTGTGACGAACAGTGTTGGAGTCTGTACTAGCAAACTCACTCAAGAATCAGATCTGGGATCAACTCAGATGAAGTTTCTTTGGATATTTCTCCAACTGAACTGCTGATCTTGGAACCCCAACCATCAAGAGACTGTCAGCCAGTGGACTCTGAATAGGATTCATTACGGTTGGGACAGTGAGATTGGCAGCAATCCAGAACTGATGAACTATCAAAACTGTTTGAGCAGGACCCTTGGAGAGCGCCTCATGTTGGGGATCGGGGATCGGTGGGAGGTAGGGTGGGGCTTTTCCCTTTGTTACTCCCCTAACCCCAGATACAGGGCAAAATGATTATATTAGTGTGGAAACAATGATATTACCCACTTTCACCCTGTAGCCCGTGACCCTTTGTACCCTAATAAACTAAGAGTATTAAAAAAATAAATAAATAAATAATAAATAAATAAAAATGCTTTGTGTATTAAATATAAAAAATTTTCCTTACACACACACAATGACTCTTACTTTTAAAATAATGTGACCTCTAAAACTTAAGGGGAAAATCCCTTATTTTTAAATAGTTCACGCACACATTGAAATATGAAATACTTCAACTTTCTCAATGCATTAGGGAAAAAATGAGCCAGACAAATGCAATAATAAATGATAAATAACATTGGACTTCATATCCAGAATTTCATAAAATAGAAGCATAAAACATTTATGTTCCTGTGATAATCATCCAATTCATTGTATACAGCCATGGTTCATTCTTTTCCATTGCTATATAATAATCCATTTTACAAATCTATCGACATTGTGACCGTCATTCTGTCCTGAGCATCTGGGTGCTTTTCGCTTAGAGGCCATGATAAACAAAGCTGCTCTGACCATGGTAGTGTTGCA